ATATTCTCAGGTTTGCCCAGAAACATATGTATTTCTTTTCACAGTTCGATCCAGCTGAACTTCTAGATTCAGGATATCATACATTTTACCGAGCAATTTGGCTTATTTGAAGAGATATAGGTATTTTCATCTTCTCCTTTGATGTTAATGAATATCACTTATTTGATGATGTTATTCTTACAAACATGTTTAAATTGTATGCATCATCTTCACAGACGCATCCAATCTTGTAAACGTATTCCAATCACAAACGCCTGACGTATGAAATGCCACGTCGTATAAATCATATCAATACGTCTTGCTTTGTAGCTTTATCTCTATTTTTGTCAGTTCTACATAATTTTACTTCTTACGTTGTTTTAGCTATGTCTAACAGTAAGAGAGATGCAACAAAATCATTCCGATAGCGACAAATCGATTACTTTGATCGTAAATGTCTTAATAATATGCGTGTATTCTTTCCTTTGAAAGCTTCGCATTATTCGCCAATATGAAAACTAGCTGAACCAATTCTCTACTTTGGGATATGTTCCGATAGAGAGGGGAATTAGTGCTGAAGTTACTAGTCTCTTTAGAAATATTAGTTTGCCGACTTCCCCAGACTACGAAATTACCACATAGAAGGTAATTTACTTCCCTATGGGAATCACTGGTCTACAATAATGCATTCATTATCATTACTGCCAATCGTATGTGTGCTGTATGTGACTGGGCAACGAAAACAACTGTTACGAACCAAAACTTTTCACTGAGAATAGTCATGACGCAAACGAGTAAAATCAAGAAACTTGCTGAATTGCGTTGCGGATTTTGAAAGAGAATGATGGCTTTTCGACACTTTAAAAGAGAATTTCTCTGGTATTGATGACTGCTACAAGATATATTGCGAACTGCAATAATTTGGTTTAAAAATTTTAAAAATTTGCATTGATGACACTAATTTTTTTGAATGAAAATTTGAATGATGGATGAGATGAAACATTATAAATACGTGCGGTTGATCTGAAAGAGATCATTTTTAGTACGATTTGATGAGCATTCGGTCGTTTTGATCGATGCTGAATATCGGGGATATGGGGATTGTGTGGTTGAGAATGTTGATGACGCTTGGGGTTCTGTTCAACTACGCGATTGAATCTGGTCAGGACATCGACGACAAGGTTCCTTTAGCCTTATCTGACAGCACTCACGAATAGTTGCTGGTTCAGTCACCAATTTCGCAAGCAGAACTCTTCATCGTTTCGTTATTTCATGCAGATGCTTGTCTGTTTGAGTATGTGAATGGTCAATCAGTTATATTGCATCAAATGGACAAATCACTTTTCAGAATGTTCAATGTAAATCAGAAATTTTATTGGATTCATTCACAGTTAATGAACTCATTTATTTGCATCGATTATTGACAATGACAAATAATCGTCACCGTCATCGGTAAATGNCATTTCAGTGAATCGCGATCATTTTTGTCTTCAATTAATCCAAAAACGACTCGCAATGATGTCCGCGGTATAATCCGATCATTATGTTACAATTTCAAAAAGCATTTGAAGATGACCTGCAAAGACCAAGGTTCATTACATTAACCAACCGTTTCACTATGCATTCAAGCTTTAATTCACTTCTGCAAGGATGAAAATTTCGAGGAAATGTAAAACGGACAATGTTCATGTTTCATTTCCCAGTGCAATTGTTCATCCCAGCACGTAACAACATTAATATTGCACAGACTAAGAATGAAGCGAACTTTCGACGAAATTAACAACCATTGCAGGATCAAGCGGATTCTTTCGTAATCATTCATCTTCGAATGGATTGTATATTGAAAGAGACCCAAACAATCCGTACAAATATTCAATAGTGCAATGTCCATCGTTCACGAGCCCTTGTAGAGAAAATATTCTGATTTATCCACACAAAATCGATGATTTCTTGGTGAGACCAAGTCATTTTTGGAGGATCATATTTCGTTTCGCTTATGGGCATAAAGCGATATCACCAGACTACTTCAAACTGAGGAGCATCATCCAAGCAACATTAATGAACTTGTTTTAGCTGTTCGAATTCGATACTTCGCGAAACCTTACGATATGGAAATCTTTTTGTTGCAAAAATATCGCTGAATCTCAAAAATTTTCACCAATGAATCACATAATTGAACCCATTCACTACCTTTCTCAGGCTAAATAACTACCACTTGAGTGATGACCCATCAGTAAACGTAGAAATGAAAACATTTCCCAGCGAGTTGGGGTGTTTTTCTTCACTGTCCTTAAGAAATTAATTCATAACAGTTTTACGAAAGATCCAACACCTGTTCATTATTGTTCACTTCAAAATGTTAGTTCACCGGATCAGTAACAGTCTTAAATTATTCAAATGAAACAGTTGAAATGAATGAAGAATTGACTATGCAGATCAATCGCAGTGGTACACATATATATTATCACGTCAGCGATAAACGAGTGCTACTCAGAGCACAAGCAAACAAATTTTTGGTGGAAGAGCCATCGACAATTCTTAACAATACAATCACCACTGGATATTTAAGGCTGATTTACGCAAATGATGAACTCGATTTAATTTACGAACAATGCGATACATCGAATAAGTCGGTTTAGTTTCGTGATAAAGAGGCAATTGCTGATTCANAGCTGGAATGCAAGAGCATAACAGATTTCAAATAGACTTGCCTATAGATTGGAGATTGTTTCAGTGAATTTACTGAGTTGGAACTGTGAATTCATACAAAGAAAAATAAGCTGAAATTGACCAATGAGCTTATATGGAACACAACTCCGATAGTTCATTTCTCAGAATATGAAAATTTTCAAGTTTCTTTGAATGTTGTTGGTGATTGACGAATTAAGTCTCGTTTCGTTTCAGAATCTACAGAACAATGCTTTTCAAATCAACGCTCAACAGAACCATATCCATAGTGAGCAATGAAGAAACGAAACCGATATCATATGAACGCTTATCAAAAAGATCACTAAATTTTACGGCATTTGACTTTCATACTCATGTGGACGATCTAGCTGATGATCGATTTGGGTTGGCCGAAACTTTCAAATTTAAAACTGTTAAATGTTTCATTAACCTCCTTCACGACTGTTCAACAGAAAAACTTTTCGGAATGGGAGTTACGGCAAAAAATAGTGGCAGACATCTGAAACTGCTGAAGAAAACTTACCCGAGTGAATACCACAGTGAAATGAAGGCATTAACCATATCTTGCACTTCGTTTGATTTGATACATTAAAAAAGACTGAATAGGGAATATGTTTCGCAGAATAGTCAATCTATTTGGCTTTTGAAAGCACAAACATCTATCAGGACAACTGCTAACAACCATTTAAATGAGAAACGATCGTTGGGGTTCTAACTTGTAATCATGACATCTATTTAGCATTCTTCTTTTTTGCATTCCGCACGATCCGCCTTTCCAATTTGAATCCTTTGGATTGATACTCGAATACTCGAATACTATGAAACTGAAAGAAGTTTTGATAAATTTTAGTGTCATTTTGATAATTTGTTGGTTATTGTCTTCTTTTGCAGCTTGACAATGGGATTAGCAATTGGCATTCCACTGGCACTTTTTCTTGTTATGGCTGCCGTCGTCATAACACTCTATTGTCTCTTTTGTAGAACCAGTGATGGTATGATTAATAATGCAGTCTCAACTGAACAAACGATTCTCAAATCCATCAAAAATGAAACACTGCGAAATTACCACAACAATCCATTCTAATTCACAATGAAATCAGACACTCGCAGATGAAAAATAGCCACAATTTTGACAAGATACGATCAATGAAGTGTTGCAGATGACGATCAACAAGATGACGATAATATACCACAGAGTCTGGTGGAGAATGCACGCAAAGCAGAACCTTCAGCAAGTCAACGAGATAAATTTCTTCCTGAGAATTTTGATGTTAACCAATTTCATTATAAAGGACCACTGATAATTGAGCGGAGGCCAGCGTTTATATCAGTTAGTTTTTAACAGTTTCTTTGCTCTTTCATTACATTTCATTTCATTTGTTGATCCACAGACATGAAATAAACCGAATTTGAAATTAAGTGTCATGTGAATATCTCAGAACTCATTTCGAAGGAATGAAACACGTTAGTACTTCAAAAGTCAGCACAGAATTTTCAACTTTTTATTAGAGACTTCAGAACGTAGTGAACTCTTTGATATCGTAAACTTATCTGACATTATGTCTTGTGACAGTTATATCTAACCTCATTTTTCCAAACTGTTTGAATTTCGTTTATTGTTCCATGCATGAGATTCAAGAATGAATCTTCAGTTTCATGATCTAGCAGGAGATCCACCAAAACAATTGTCAGCAGAAGATCATGTTGAATTCGATCCAAATATGAACGAGGTAATCGTTTGTCTCTAGAGAAGGCTTATGCTTAATTTTAAATCCATTGAGACTTGCGTTCATGGAATATGTGCTCATCTATGATTTCAGGCCTTCGAAATTGGTGAAGGAGTTGAAGAATCTGCGGATGTTTCAAAATTCAAAGTCAAAGCTGAAGAACCCCTGAATGCACATCCCTCATTACGCTACGGTAAAGTTTTCACACTTGGTTCTTATTCATTCGAAATCATCAAAAAAATTCACACCCTTCAAGAAAGCGTAATACATTTCATCTTCAAATTTTTCAAATGCCTACAGCGCTTCAAACAGAAAAATGCAATCGGCTTGATTAATTGTATAAAAATGAGTAGCTTTGTAAAATAACTCAAGTAACTCTAAAGATGGGCAGATCACGAGCAGAATTAACCTGAGCGATCAATTAATTGTTCACTTTTGATAACTTTATCATCAACAAAATGATCTCTCATTTTTATCACATTCTATCATCAGATTTATAATTTTTTTTTACATCAGCAAAATGATTAATAACACTCTCATCGGTATCCCTACGCTCATCATTGTTTATATCACCATCTGTTTTCATAAATGATATTGCTAAAATGGTTAGTATGCTAAAATTATTCCGTTCAGACAGCAGACGGGGTTCGGTTCGATTAGCCAGGGATATTGAAGCTGCGGCTATGAAAGAGTTACATGACGCAATGGTAAAGTCAAACTATCGACGCATACACTCCAAAGAGAAGCCACGCAATCTTGGTAGCCGTGAGGCAGCAAAAAAACGTGGAAGCCGTGAAGTGGCAAAGTTAGTTCGGGCAAAGCAACAACTGCAACCAAAGGACGATGGCTGCAGCCGTGAAACATCTGCAAATAAGGATGACCGGAAACATGATGAGAAAAGCATGAAACACGCGAGTACCCCGTCAAAGGATGTAATCATTTTCGATAAAACACAGCAAACAACGGAGAGTGCTAAGGCACCATCAGCAAGAAGCAGGTATGTAAGTAGCATATGATAGGATCGATGGACAGATGGATGGATGGATCTATTTCGATTAATGCAAATTAAGCTAACCAACAGCCCTGTTTATAGGAAGNGAAATCGCCATTGCTCACCATCATCAGACTGAGCTGAGCCAGTCCGAGCCAAAATCAAAATCTGAATTAAGACGTAGATAAAGTTCAGCCGAATTCAGTTTAGATGCAATCGAACATCAGCGCAATGTTGTTAGGGTCACTTTTGCTAATGGGGCTTCTATGAATTAGTCACTGATCACTGTCAATTCAATCGAAAATTATCGCAGTGTTTGCACAATTTATGAATTTCAGAAAACAACAACAGTCGTCGAAACCCTGTGGAGCTATAGAATCAGCAATGCTTCCATTGTCAGCAACTCAGCCAACAATGCATGCTGACTATACTCGGCATGTACCCGGTAAAACCCCTTCCAGTAGAACAACCACCGGTTCGGTTAAGAACGATTTGAGTGACAAAGACAACGATAATGCACAAACGAAAACAACTGAAACGGCGAAATCAGCGGCAAAAGAAAAGCCAACTGAACGAAATCAGCAACCAAAAACGACGAAAAGTGGTTTCCAACCGAAAACCTCGGAGAAAAAATGTTCTCAGAAACGAGATTCATCAAAGACAACGACTTCATCGAAAAAAGTCTCGAGCAATGCAGTGAAGAAAGCGATCGGTAGCGATCACCCGAATCAAGAGAGAAAATCACAGAAAAAGTCATCAGAAGAAAATGAAAATGTCAAAAATGAAACAACCACCAATGCCGAAGGTAAAATGTCTAGCGGAAAGCAGATAATAAGCGTGACTTTGTAACAGAGATAATCGATGCAAACCAATGACTGCTTTTACCTGTACAAATCACTGTTTTGAACGATTTTAGGCTGTATAACTTACGATTTTAGGATGTATATTAGAGCATAAAGTTTGATCGAATTTGTATGTTTCATTTCACATTCCCTTCCCATTTTTGGGATGAACGTATAAGTGTCACTCACGATATGGGCTCATCAAATCCTCCCACGTTTGTAAGGCATTTAGTAAGAATTCGAAAAGTTCATGCAATTAATCAGTCATGATATGGAAGGGATTGGCGATTGTACGGTGATATCTTAATAATAGAGGAGTCAAGTATGCTGGAGCAGTTCCTGAAATTAGTGATTAGACATTAGGCTGCACACACGCATCCAGAATCGCAATTTATTGATGAGTTCTGCCGGAGAGCATGGAAAATTTTTAACATTGATTGATTTATTCATTTAATCAACAACTACAGAGTTTATGCCAATCTTTTAGCACGAATATCACAGCTATTGCACTCTTCCTCCGTAACATACTTTCGGAATATTTGGTTCGATTGAATCAGAGGAAGCCTTCGAAATCCAAAAGTTATGACCCAGGCAGGGGTCGAACCTGCAATCTTCTGATTAGAAGTCAGACGCCTTATCCATTAGGCCACAGGGCCGTANNNCCATTCTCGTCGTTAAGCTCCCGTCTCGCTTTATGTGGGCAAAATTTTTTCGAAGCTCGAAAGAGACGGCTCTCCCACATCAATTTCCTCTCTGCTTCCATTACGAATCGCTCATCATATCCGTCTGTATTCTTCAACGGTTGAGAGGTTTTCATCAACGCGGAGGATGGAAAGGCAGAGATCACGATAAATTTGAGGCACCATGAACACTATAGAATGCAACAAAATTGTTAGCGATTATAATGAACCCCTTAGCATGTTTGCAAATGCTCAGAATGCTTCATTCACTTGAATGTCGAGGCTGAGGCTTGGAAATGGGCTAAGCTTACTCTAGATCTATGTTTAAGCCTAAGCCTAGGCTTATGCTCAGGCTCAGACTTGGGCTAAGCCTAAGCCTAAGTCTGAGGAAAAAACTCAAACCCAATGTAAAATAAACTAATCTTAATGCCGTAGTTTTCACATTGGGTTGATTCTGGCTGGGTTTTTCGTAGTTCTATGAGCTGAATGAGATCGTTCACTTCAAACGGATTGAAAAAATAAAATTTAGCGGACAATCATCACAATTAACCCAATTATGGAGCATTCCACGATGTTCACGAACACTTAGACATGACAGTTAGGGTACTAAACATCAATTTCGGTGGAGAGGTGCATGAAAAACGCAGAGTTGACTTTCAATGGGAAAAGGGAATTGAAGTGGCTCAAACAGATATATGAGCAATCCAGTGGAAGAGACGGATATATGAGGATTCGTAAAATGTATGAAAAAAGTTTCATCATCAATTGAGGGTGAGCTGGTCGTTCTTCGCCAAATCGCTTGTTTGGTTTCATTTGCATTGAAAAGCAAACTGAAGTGAAAATGCAAGTGTGAGAAATAGATATAATACAGATTCTTCGGAGAATCACGAATGAGAGCGAATCATTGATGTGGCCGAAGTGAATGAGAAAACTACCATCACACA